GTTAAGGCCAAAAGCAAAGGCGCAAGGCGTGGCAGGGGTGTTGGGACAGAGGAGGGAGCAGAGGGGGCAACAAATCAAAGTCGACGTCGCGTTTTTAAGACGCCTGTCGAACTGTGCCGGCCCACGCCCACTTTAGCTGCGTAAACGCCTTAAGACGGCGACTGCGACTCCGACTGCGGCTGCTGCGGTTGAAGTGTATTTAAAAGTTTGATTAGTTTTTAATGTTTGTGCGAGGCAAGTTCTTAAGTTTCTGCCTCGCTCACGCTCGAGCTCTCGCGCTGTCTCTTTCGCTCTGTAATTTTTATAAACTTTGCATTTTACTTGATTCAACTTTAACATTCGTAACGTAAATATATTATATTCTGCCCAAGCACGGCCCATAGCAATATTTATGCACATTTATGCAAAAGTCAACTAATCACAAACATATTGCATAAAATAACAATTTCATAAATTGAAACAAAATGTCTAGACTCATTATGCCACCGAAAATGTATGCAATAAAATTATGCAAATTATATTGCGCACAACAACAACAGCAACAACAGCAACAACAAAAACAACATCAGCAGCAGCAACAACAATATGTTGGCCAAATAATTTCTCATATTTGTTGTTTTTGGCCCTTTGTCAAACTCATTCTCTCTCTCTCTCTCTCTCTCTCTCTCTCCCGCGATTTCGCTTTATCTAGTTGGCTCAGTCGCGTCGGCGACAGCATTTGTAAATTCATTTATTCGAAATTTGATTTTCACATAATACAAAATACTTTATATTTATAATTTTGTTTTCGTCCTCTTTGTTGTCAACGATATTATTATTCTTATTGTGCGTAAGCCTCAAGAAATCAAAATAGCTAGACATATTTTCCAGTTTATATGGGTACATAATGTATGATAAAATTTGATATAAAGTTATATAATATTAACGATTAATGAACTAAAACGTTCTTTACTAACTACTATAAGTCTTAAAAAAATAATTTTAATAATTTTAAAAATATTCAAATTTCTTAGTTATATAGCTAAAGTTCTTCAATAAAACACAATTTTAATAAAATATATATATACAAATATATTATAGTATAATATATTATTATTTTATATGTATTATTACAATGTAATTTAATATAATATAAATTAATATAGAAAGAAGAAGTGATCCCAATGATCTAATACCCTGAAAATTAATGATATGATCTGATATTAGAAATAAAAAATAAAACTAGCTCATTTATCGTTTGTTCAGCTAGCCTCTATATATTTGTCATCCAATTTTTATTTCTTTCATATATTTTAGAAATATTGTCACCCTTACATGACTAATATCTCAAAAAGTCAATGTTAATTCCCAGCAAAAAATATCCAGTATTTACTGTATTTTTAAAATGTTTCTAAAATTCCTTAAATTTATTGCACTTTCTCACAAAGTTTGGGTTTGCTGTGAAGTATGGAAGCATTTCCTGCTTGCCGACGTTCAGCAGATTGTTATTAAAAATGTTTTCATGATAATTGCAAGTTAACGAAAAGCGACATTGGCAACGTTTAGAGGTCCTTCGACGCTTCAAGAAACACAAACGCCTCGCAGGCTCCTCGGCCTTATGCCTTATCGCACTCGTCAACAACAATAATAAAAGGCAGTCGGCAAATGCAGCCATAAATTATGAATATGAATGGCAAGGTGTCTACGTGTGTATGTGTTGTGGCTGAGGCACCGCCCCGCCCCTTTGGCGCCTCCCTGGGGTCCAATAACGCAAAGAGGCCACACAAGGACACAGGCAACGCAGGGTTAATAGAAACTCCAAGCGTGTGTGTGTGTAAAAGTTATAAACATTTATGGCAGCTACTTAAAAATGTCAGGCGAAAAAATTATGATAATGATACGTGACATTTGAAAGCAATAACAATTTAGTTAGCACGCACTTTTTGATTACACCGAAAAGCTCGACCAGGTTTTATTTATGAGTTGGCTACATAAAATTGAAAAATTGCCTCAAAAATGCCTGTCAGTGTGCGAGTGTGCGGTTTGTCTGTGTGCGTGTGTGTGTGGGTGTAATGTGTGTGCGTGCGTGTGTGTGTGTGGCACTCAAATGAAAGACTTACATGGGTGTAATAACAATAATCATAAAGCACGCCATCATAGAATGCGGCAAAGTTAATAACAATCAAAGCAGCGAGAAAAGTCATCTCAACTCTTTAATGCTCTGCAAATAATGTTAGGGTATTTCATATCCTGCAAATAGCTTTATGTGTTACTGCTACTCAATTATTACTAGGCAGAAATAATTATTAAAATAGAAAAAATATAAATAAAAAATATATATATTAGAGCGAACGAATTTTTTGAGGTCAAAACATAAACAGTTTATGTATAACTATAAAAATCTTTCCGATAGCAAAACATTAAATTCGCTTTTGGCTCACTCAAGCGATAATTTGGCGGTTATACAAATACATAAATAGAGCGTACGAAAAACATAAACACTTTCTGTAGAATTATAAGAATTGAAGAATTACAACTCTGACAGATCGCTTTTCGACTTACAACAGTAAGCAACATGTATTTCGCCTTTGGCTCACCCAAGCGATAGTTTGGCGAAATAAAGCCAAAACGGCCAACTTAAACAATTTTTATATAACTTTAACCTTTGCCTCATTCAAGCGATAATTTGGCAATAGCACAAATAGAGCGTACGAATATGTAAAGTCAAAAGGTAAACAAAAGAATTATAACTTCAGAAGATGGTTTTTCGACTAACAAAAACACTTATATCGCCTATGGCTTACCAAAGCGATAATTTGGCGATATTATCAAGTCAGGCCAAAAGGTAAGGTAGTTTCGGTAGATTTCGTTTTAGATTTCACAGTTTTAAAGCTTGTCCTTAAAGTCGATTACAGTACAAAATAATATAACAAATTCAAGGATAAGCTATAGACAATGAATTTTTCACCTTACTCCCTTAAGTTGTCTATTTAAAATCGGACTTTTCAGCTTGCCAAAAATTATGAAATTTACGAAATTAACAAAGGGTCCAGAGAGGGCAGAGCTGTCCTTCAAGTGGCCAGGCTGGCGAGTCAGCTGAGCGGATAGCCAGGCCTGGTGGAGAGGGGAGGGCAGACAGGCAGGCAGGCAGGCAGTCAGTAGCAGCAACAACAGCAACAACAACAACAACAACAACAACAACAAAGCACACATCCTGTATGTCAACTGAATAATTCGTTGCATGCACAAAAGGCATGCACTCACATCCGGTTTCCTGTCATTCTTTTCGCCACACAGGGTGGCAGAGGTACGGAACATGGGCAGAAGAGAGCGCGATGGAGACAGAGAGAGAGAGAGAGAGAGAGAGTGGCAAAGAGAGTAGGAGAGCGTGGCAGGCTTGCAATTTATGTCTATGTGTTGGTAGCCGTTGTTGTTGTTGTTGTTGTTGTCTTTATGGCGTGTTTGGTATTTGTTGCAACTTTTGTTTTGAATTCCTGTGGCCTTGTCACACGCTCCATGCGCTTGCAGTTAAATTTATGTTACAACACACCCATACAACCCCACAGCCACACATACACACACACACACTGGCATAACTCTTAACGAACAATGAATGCAAAAAAGTGTTGCATACAACGCGAACTCTGCGCTCTCTCTCTTTCTCTCTCTTTCAGAGCCTAACACATATAGATAGGGAGAGAGGGAGGGAGAGAGGCGTGGGGGGAAGCAGACTCAAGTGCAGTGACGGCCAACTGCCAGCGCCACATCTCTTGTAAAGCAGCGTATAATCCACTGATTGCTCCCAAGGTTCAGCTTTCAACAATGAAGGCCACTCAAAAAGGAGTCGTGCAGGCTGAAGGGATGCGGAACGGACGGACTGTACTGAAGCTGTCGGGTCAACGGATGTGCTGCGCTTTTTGCCAGGGCATGACAATGGGCATAAACAGCTTTACAATGGGGTCTATAGAAAGAGAGAGAGAGCGAGGGGGTGCTAGAGGGAGAGAGAGCGGGAGAGATAAAGAATTAGAAATATAGAGTTAGAAAGAGACAGAGAGCAAAGGAAAGAGGGAGACAGAAAGCTGAATATTACAAATACATAATAAATATTCTCGAATTGTGAGAAAACTGAATAATATATACATATATAAGCTCTCTCTCTCTCTCTCATTCTATATACATAGTATATACTTCCTTTACTTTGTTGACAAAAGATTCCTAAATTGAATTAAAAATTATAAAGCCTTTTACCATTTGTCAAGAAACTGGTTTAATTTTATAAAGAACTGAACTCACCCATGGGATTTAAGTGACACGATCTGAAATGAAAAGAAAAAATAAATTTTAAAAATAATTAATAAGTTTAGGGATCTGTAAATTTTCAAAATTTTTTCACAACCCAATTTTCTGTTTTTATATTTTATCATTTTTTTTAGATTAATTCGATTTTTGTTTATATTTCAAGATTAGAATGTTCTAGTAGTACATGTGTTAATAATTTGTGGATAGTTCCAATGTTTAAGTTAATACGAATTAAATATATATATACATAATCTCTCATCTCAAGAATAAAAATAAAAATGTAATAAAATAATTCTTAATTTAAATCAAAGTAAAATAATAAAAATGTAATAAAAAGTATAATAAATTAAGGGCAGCTTTTGAATTATAAATACTTAACTAGTTGATATTTTTTCATGTGCTGAAATTCAATAACAATTAAATCGATATATGTATATAAGTACTAATTTCTCTTGATAATCTATATAATTCCAGACCAGGATAGTAAAAGTTAAAGTCTGTTTCGATCTTGCAGTTGGTCGCATTGTTTTGTCTTGTATTTTAATTTGTTTCTATGTATTGCTGCTCTCCAGTTGCAGCTATCCGTCTGCAGTTGTCGCTCGAGAGACCTGCGAGAGTTTGGCATTAATTTTGCATATGAATACGGTGCGGACAATTGGATTTGTTGCACTGCTGTGCAGCTGCAGCAGTTGGTCGCATTTAAAGTGGCATGTTTTTTGCAGGCTCTCTCACTCTCTCTCTCTCTCTCTCTCTCTGCCACTATCTCTGTCTTTTTCAAATGCAAAAGTTTTGAGGGTCGTCGCATCGGGGCATCAATTTTCACATTAATTTCGTTTGTAGCTTCGGACATGCTCAATTAGCTAACGCTGTCGGCTCATTAGCAACCCGAGCCTGGCCCCCCCTGGAGGCACAGCACAGCAATTCGAGCTGGCCCAAACACACACACACACCCGCACACACACGCGCACAGGTAAAGGGTTGTAAGAGCGTTAAACAGCTTGCAAAATGCCAGCAAGCCCCCAACTCGAACATCTACATCTAAAAAAAAAAACGGTTTCAATTTGCATGTCGTCAGCGAAGTATGCTGCTTTCGCCTTTGGCTACGTTCGAAACGCTGTGGCGCAAACAAGGATTTTCTTTCAATATCTTATACTTACAATTGCACAATCAAGGCAGAGACTGAAAAAGTTCGATTAAAGCATAATCAAAGTCGCATAATATGAAAATGAAAATATTACGTAAGCCCATTTTATTTTTACTATGCATGGGTATTGTAACAATCTGTACTGCCAAGTTGATGTGCGCTAATCGGGAGCTGGACTCGACTGGAAGATACACTGAATAAGCTGCCCGTACAAACATTTCAACATTATTGTGCCTCTTCTGCCCTTGTCCTCACACTATGATGAAGAGGTCCATGATGAACTTAAATGCTATCAGGACCATCTTTATGCAATGCGCAGGCCATAAATGTGGCGTCAATATGTGTAAATATCAAAGGCCAAGATTATAGTACCAGAAATGCGTAAGGAGTCGAAGGAGTGGGAGCAAGTATAAAAAAGTTAAATATTCTGGACAATTGTATATATTAGAAACTAAATACATAGATATGCCAAGACAACAAGATTTCGATATAAATTTCTATAAATATCATGGAAACATTTCAAGTTATCAAATTTGCAAAACAATACACTTAATTTACGTGAGCAATGTGAGGAGTTATGCTTTTTTTCCCCATTTTAAAGAATTCAGTTTACACAACAACGATTCACAATAAATACCAAAATTTGGATGATGTTATCATCTTTATTGATTCAAACGGCCTAATAACGTCCACCGTGTCCATGTCCACCATGATGCTGATCGAAACCTTGACCATGTCCACCGTAGCCCTGCTGGCCATGGCCACCGAATCCTTGCTGGCCATGTCCACCGAATCCTTGCTGGCCATATCCACCGAATCCTTCCTGGCCGTGTCCACCGAATCCTTGCTGGCCATGTCCACCGAATCCTTCCTGGCCGTGTCCACCGAATCCTTGCTGGCCATATCCATTTTGGTGTCCACCAAATCCACCTTGCTGACCATAACCACCGTGACCGTGTTGGGCCAAAACAGCGACAATCAGGGCGAAGAAAACGACCTTTAAAAGTAAATTATCCTAGGCCATAAGTTGTTGAGCTCAATTTAAGGATATTCAAGCGAACTTACGAAGAATTTCATTTTGATTTGTTGATTTAGCTGCAGCACTTTCAAATAAGTTCTAACTGTACAGCATCAATTGGGGGCCCCTTTTATACCCAGCAATCGAGAGAGAGATTTACGTAGAAGCGATTTCAAAATCAAAACAAAAAGCGGAAAAAACAAATTTAATTCTCAGTTGTCTGAGCCTACGAAAATGTCTTATCATTCACTAGATTACATATGAAACATGCTTTATTTTGGCACACATTTGAGAGGGTATTATAACTGAAAGATTCCATTTGTAATGTGCCTTGTCTTGATCGTGACAACAGGTTGGGGCTAGGTCGTTATATCCAGTTTAATCTGTTTCTGTGCCAAAAATAATTTGACAGCTCTGATAAAACCTGGCACATATTCAACTACTAGAACTTATAAACAGCAATTGCAAAGAGTTCAAGTTTCTTATTCTCTAAGAAACTCAATTGCTAAGAATTTTTATTTTTTAAGGTTTAATATTGGCAATATTGCATGTCGCTCAAATTAATAGTAACAAAAATAATTTAATAAAATTTCTTTCTGTTTATTTAAACTCAACAAAGCGGTTGAAATAAACATATTTAAACCCAAATATTATGGGAGCTTCCACTGTATTTGATTTTTTCAAAGCTCTTGGTGAAAAATACTTTTTTAAAGGCATATTTTATTTTCGACTCACAGTTCTTTCCCATTATTTATTTGGTCTTGAGGCTTATCTGTCTACACACGCCCTTCAAAATCTTTGGACTTTAATAAATGGGAAGTGCCCAATTTGATTCTGTGAATCAATTAAGTGTAAATGTTTTTTTTTTCGGCTCATGATTAACCTTACCATTGAACTCGAACTGAGTCAATTGTTCTACGCTCGAGTGACTATAATAAACATTTATAATGAATAAACTATGAGCGTGCCACACTGGTAGATACCCTAACCCCATCAACTTCCTTGGGGCTACACTATAGAAACTGAGTCCTTAATTAACGGTGTTAACAGGTCGATCTTTATTAACATTTCTGGACATAAAGGTGGCAAACAAATGAATGTTAATTAAATTCTGAGATCAGAAGTGGAGATGTAGCAAAAAACGTGTAATGTCTACATACATATGTGTTCAAAATAAGTCGAGTGTAATATATATATTTTTATTGATTTCACGAGGAAAGTTGTCGAACATTTGAAAAAATCCTGAAAGCTGGACAAATAATATATATGAATAATTTTAGCAATACTTTCTGAGTGTCAAAAGTGCAGCCTAAAGCTATGCAACACTTGGCAAATCGCCCGCAAATCGACAAATTAAATTTCAAATATTTTGCTGGTTGCATTTGTCATATCGCTGGGGCTTCATTAGGCAGGCTCAAAGTATATTGAACACAGTTGCCAGGTAAGCACAAACTTTTCAAATGATATACCACACGTTACCTGAGGTACAGGTGTGTGGGCGAGCGTGTGTGTGCGTGTGTGTGTGTGCGTATGGGTGAAAGTTGCCAACGCTGCAGCAGCTCATTGCCGCGTGTCGTTGTTGTTGCTGTTGTTGTTGTTGTTGTTGCTGCTGCATTTAAGTAAAATGAATTGCCTGCAATTTATTTTTGTTGCTTATCATATAAATTGCACTCGCCTGCAAGTCATTATTTGGCACATTTGCGCTCAATGGCTGCACATTGCTCGCCTCGCCCACATCCAAATTGTGGCGAGTGGGCGTGGCAGCATGTGTGCGTATGACGAACCGGAAGCCCACAGATATGCCAGTAAAAACAACAGCAGCAACAGCAACAGCAACAATTTGGCCAAGAGATGCTGCCAGGTGGCCTTTGCACTTGGCTGCATTTTTAAGACAGCAAAGGCGACGTAGCGCAAAGGGCAAAGGGCAAAGGTTGCAAAATGGCCATTGGGTATATATGCCCGAAACTGCCACTTAAGCAGTTGCTGTTCTTTTATTTACCACTTGCAATGGCCGCACAAATAAATTTCCGGTTTTGCCTTACTCGACTTAAACTTTTGGAAGCGACACACAAAAAACAAGCAAGTAAATATATATATATTCTTTATTGTGTGAAGAGCTTAATCAAAAAAAAAATAGCTTGTAATTAAAGCAATGCCAAGCGATACAATAGCTTAAGTAACTTAAGGGTCAATACCTTTGCTTGACGAATCTGAACAGTAACTAGTTTTCTAATAGGGAATCGGTTTGTATTCGAAACATTAAGCTTTGTTTCTTTTTTGCTGCACAATGGGAAAAAACACTAACTGAACAATTATAGTGCAATTTATAAAACGTTATAACATTTTTAAAATTAATAATATAATCAAATTTTTGATTGCATGCATTTAAGATCTTAGCAGTTAAATAGTGACAAGTTAATATTGGATCCGAAAGGCCTCAATTTAATATATGTTAATATATATGTTATATTAAATCATAAATATCAATTATAGTTCAAAAGTTTCATAGCTTCAATAGCTTATGCAAATTGAATACTCAAAATTTATTAAAAATTGATTTGGCTTTAAACATCAAACAGAAACGCAGTATTCCGCTTCGAGGATGAACAACTGCAAAGATGTCACTCAAAAATATTATATAAACCTCTCTTAGCATAGTTTTAACAATTTCCAGCTAGCTTACTAGCAATAGTTCTGTGTTTGTTAGCAATTGGTGTAGCAAAGCTGGAAATATTAGAGTATTCGAAAATGTCTTAGCATTTACTAGATTACATATGCAATATGCTAGTATTTGTTTTGGGACAATTTTGTTAGGGTATTATAAAATAAACGGTCTTGATCTTGGTGACGGGTTTGGTCATTATTGCCAGTTTAATCTGTAAACCAAAATTTCGATTCTGATAAAACCTGGCACAGAGTAAATTGCTCAAAAATGGGCGTTTTACTCTGAACCCAAAACAAAGGGTATAATATATCTGTGATAATATATGCAATAGGCATCAGAAAGCAACTCGGGCGCCATAAAGTATATATATTCTTGATCGGGAATACGAACTGAGTTGATCTAGCCATATACGTTCGTCTGTCCGTCTTTGCAAAGGCGTCGAGCCCGAACACAACGAAATTTAAATGCATATTCCCTAATTAATAGTCTTAAGCATAACTTTGCAAGTATTTTACATTGATCAAGAATAAATTAATCAAATTAAAAAATATATATTTTTCAAAAGCGCATTATTATTCGACTTTAAAATGAGTTTAGCAATAGTTCTGTGTTTGTTAGCAATTGGAGTAGAAAAACCTGAAAATTAGCTACACTTTCTTCGGTAAACATATTTCTTGTAACTGCAACACTTGGCACTTAGTTCAACATACAAGAGCCCCCCAAATATGCAAGCCCCATTTGCATAGGTTGAGCAGAGGGTGCATTTCTGGTGGAACATTCGCACCCTTGACCATCTCTCAGCAGGACGGAGGGTGGCCGACTGGTAAATTTCTCCCTATGGAATGCAAACAAAAGGTAACAAACCGACTGGCAAAGTGTGCAGAAAATATTTTGCAAATGCAATTGCAATTAAGTTGTCTGATTATTGGGTCAGATAGCCGTGACATTTAAGAATTGCGCAGTAAGCCAAACAAAATAAAAATAAGAAATAAAAGCGACGGGAAAATCAGAGAACAGAGCAATGATTGCATACAACTCGACACACATGACCCATTAAAGTGCGTCCTATCAGCTGGAAATTGACCTTGCCCAATAAACAATATGTACAAACAATTTCGAAAGATGTGGACTTTAAGTAGTCGGCTATTGGGCAACTGACAGCACTCTACAGTTGATTCAATTGAGGAATTTAAGGCATTTTCTCAACTACATATATTACTTAACTTAAAGGCTGTACATTTACCTAAACAGTTTTTGGGTCTCTTTCAAAATTGAAGATATAAATATATTATATTTAAATAAAAAAGATAAGAACGCTTTTGCTTGATAATATGTATATATATAATTTTTAATAATATACTTCATTGTTTTAGAATTGACGATCTGGTTAAAATAAAAAATCTAAAAAAAAGGTATTCAAATTTGTTCAAAACCTATTTTGAAGTATTATTCTTACTATTTAGATATCACTTGGAATTTTAAGTGAAACAATTTATATATGCATATTGTTAAAAAATATTACTAAATATTATTATTCTAGTCACTTGTGGAAAACAAAACTGACAAATTTTCTGACAAATATTTGTTGTGAAATATTTTAATATATAATTCCTTTCAACCAAAGAAAAAATATATATTAAAATAATCATATCACAATTGTACAATTTCTATTAACTTTTTCTGTAGAGAATTTTGTTATTTTTATATTCATTTGTTTCTTTTAAATTGCTAAACATTCTCATTTAGTGATAAGCTTCTAGTCCGTGCGGTGCGTATAAAAGTAAGCAGAGTGTTCTTGAAATTTTCAGAGCATCAAAAAAGTTCGCCAGATCCAATGAATTTTAAGTACTGTGTAAGTTTGTAAAAAACAAAAATAATCGACAGCGCTTTCACTCTCACCAACTCTCTCTCTCACTCGCTCTCGCAGTTGCTGTTGTTATCGCTGCTGCTGGCCGGCGCGAGCGCTAGCCCGCCACGGGACACGCCCACTCGTCCCACGCTGCCACCCTGCACGCCCTGGTGCGCCGGCCAACCGCCACCGCCACCCGGCGCCGTCAACTAAGCTGATGAGGATACTATAATCTGCTGCTGCTACTGCTGCTGCTGCTCTCAGGCAAACAAACATGTGTTAGTAGTCGGTTACTTTTCGTAATTATTTCGGGCCATTTGCTAAAACAATTAAACTCCCATAAAGTATACAAATAAGTTTCTTGGTAATCTGGTAATCTTCCACTGCACATGTGGCTGGGAATCTTTCAGTAATTAGTATCGCGTTTTATGTCCAACTCAAAATATATATCCCAAAGAGCGCGAA